CCCCTCCCCCCCCCCCCCCCCCCCCCCCCGACCCTGAAGGCATCACAGTCACAGAGCTCAGTCAACATGAGGTAACACAGAGAATATCAGCAGGGATTCGTACAGTAGAACCGCACGTAGAGGCACAACAAAAATTGGAAAATTTGCCATAATATTTCCAAATGGACAAGTAGTTTTGATATAAGATGTCAAGGAAAAACATTCCCACCATGCATCTTCTCACATAAGAGTTTCTCCTGTTATCATTTTAAATTAAATATATTAAGGGTTTGGGCTGTTGGTTGAATTATGCAATACATTTGAAGGCGTGGCCTTGGGATCGGAGAATTTGTGATGGATCCTTTTCACTATTTGTGTCATTTTATAGACTAAATAATTTAACAGATTATTGAGGAAAAATAATGTCAATACTCAATAATTAATGAAAATAATGATTAGATGAATCCGTATTTGATATGAAATACTGTGCTTTCACACACACAAGAATGTACAAAAGCCACATAATTAAAAGAGAGAGCTAGATATTAATTTAATTTGACATGTTTGAAAGTTTTTTGACTGATGTAATGCACAACAATCAAAGACAGTTCATTGCATCTAACATTCATTTTATTATCAATATCTTGCAGCCTGTTCCGTCTTATGAACCTCTGTATATACACAATAATGTGAAAGGTGTGTATTGTCTCTGCAGCCTCCAGCCAAGTTCCTCCTGCCAGAGGTCAGTATAGAAGACTACGGCAAGAGCTGCGTGGTGATCGACCTGGACGAAACCCTCGTACACAGCTCCTTCAAGGTAATTTACACACAAACCCTCAAGTACACATTTGAGTATAGACACCCGTGGTTTCAGTCGTGTCATGCTATTATTTCTCACCCTGAGAGGGATAATAGGATTAAACCAAAAATAAATCCGGAAGATGACATTCTTTGCTGTGAATATGGGCTCGATGGCATGATGACAATTAGCACGAGGTGCCACTGAGCTAGTACACATAATCTCAGGAAAGTACGCCTGTTAGGGTGTTTTATACACCAGTTAAAACAAGGTGTTCGCATGGCAACCAATTCATCCTCTGCACCATGCAGTTCATCAGCATGACCAGTTGTTTGGCAGGAAGTATCATCTCTGTATTGTGAAAAAACATGTTCTGTATCTACAGAATGTCATCTTTTTAAGAGCTAACAGCCTTAAACGCTTCACCACAAACTCATTCCCTGGCAGTCAACCACCTACATATCAGCTAAATGCTCATGTCAGCAGCACGCTAAAACGCTCAAATAAACAATGCTAACTTGCTGATATAATGTTTACCATGTTCACCATCTTAGTCTGTGGTGTTAGCATGCTAAAATATGCTAGTTATCCAATAGATGCTGATACAATGTGGTGGACCAGCAGAGCAACAATGCAAAGAGCTATGCTGCTAGCATCGCTAAAATTTGGGGATACATGATTTTCACTTGTTTGCTTGCTTGTTTTTATGACGCCACTTCTTCATTTGACAATGTACAGTCATGTAGAAGGACGACTGTAAGTCAAACCCATGATGTTTCAATAACAGCACGTACATTTTACTGTATACTATTGTTGCTGGTTGTCCCTTCAGACTGTAACATATGATTGTGTTCATCATGTTGGTTAAATATCTTAAATAATTTGCAAGTATAAGACCAAGATGGGCAAATATTTTCAGCCAAGGAGAATTCTTGATATTTATGCCATGAAAGATGAAAAATTACAAGGCCATATAAACTCATGTGTCTCTCTCTCTACTGACACACCTGGCACACCCAGAGACCCACTTCAGCACAGCTCTGCCTCAGCCGATCCTATTACGTCTGTGTCTACTGTATCTGTGCCTGTGTGCCTTTTGTCCTCAGCATGAGGAAGTCAGAGAGTTGTGCAGGAAAAATAGCTCAAGGTGAAGCTGAATAATCTTTTGTGTTTGCGCTAGTTTTATTCACCTGCGACAGGAAACCGTTTGTTCGTTCAAGTAACTACAGAGAAAACGCTTTTAGTACATTTTCATATGACTGGGAATCACTTTGCTGTGGAAAGTAAATGGAAGAGAAAAATGTTCTCACACACACACACACAACGCTGGAACCACCCATTACAGTTACAAGCCAGTATGGGGCCACACACACACACACACAAGGGTGTGTCCAATACGGAGTACTGTTGCCTTGAATGACCGCGGGATGAATTTCCTAGAAATCCTGGCTCTGTTCTAATAGTCTGGAGTGTTTTATTTTCCTCCCCTGACAAAACAAGTCAGAAACTCACATAAAAACTAGTTTTTTTCCTCCTTTTCAGAGAACTCAGTTGCACACTGTATACACAATCCGTCAAAATGCATTTAGCTCAGAGATCAGTATGCGGTATGAAATAGATTCAGGCAATGCAATAAATGAAAATCAGCTGGGAGAGGAAGAGAGTGTAACAGAAAAGGACAGAAAATTTGCATTTTCAGTTCCGTTCAAAAGCCTGCAGGGTCTCCTGAAGATTATTTATTTGTAGATGTGAAGTTAGGACGTACTTTTGGATGAAAATGTTGGGCATGTTAATTTTAAAATGTAAAAGTCCCCATTGGAATTAGACAATAAGAGCAGAAAACCAACCAGAACTGACAGGGACATTTCACATCGTGCACAGATGGACGTAGACTAAAAAAGAAACGTTATATAACACATCATACTGTATGCTTTATCCTGTATTTTATGGATGAAAAGATAATTCCTGAGCCTGCTCCAGGATTAGATCCAGTGTGTGTTGGAAGTGTAAAAATGGCTGATTGGATATATGATAATAATAGTAAAGATTATTTATATAACACTTCTCAAAACCGGTGCTACCTTACAGGAGAAAAGATGACAAAGCACTGAAATAGAATAAAAAGCGTTCTCATTACAATATCATGGGCGTTACTCTGCCGCTATATCAGCCTCCACTTTTTCACAGAGACTGTCCATAAGATGTTGGGACTTGGCTGCTGTGATTTGATCCCATTTAGCCACAAGAGCAAAAGTGAGGTCAGGCACTGATGTTGGCCATCGGGCCTGGCTTGCAGTCGGCGTTCCACTTCGTCTTAAAGGTGTCGGATGGGGTTGAGGTCAGGCTCTGTGCAGACAAACACAAAGTGTTTTATATTTATATATATAGATATATTATGTGGACAAACCTGCTATAATGAGACATGGAAGTGTTTTTCCAAGGCAGGTTTATACCAAATGATTAAGTGTTACTTAATCACGTGCAATGTCTTTATGTAAAGAAATCATTTCATCAGTTGAAACAGTCCAGAAGATGTTCCCTCCGTCAAGTCTGTTGAGGTCAACGCCGGTTCAGCAGAGATCCATAAAACAAATACTCTCCATTCTCCCCCGTCTACTTCATCCCTCTCCTTCCATCTCGCTCACACATACATCTTCCTCCATTACCCATATCTCTCTCCGCTCGGATCCGGGCCCATTACAGAGCAGCTGTTGTGTGTTCAGTCTTCAGACGAAGGAGCGATTCAGTAGAAGAAGCAATAGGCAGATAACAAGTCTCTTCCTCCGTCTCTCTTTCTTTTTCTCTCTTGTCTTTGTGAAAGTTGGACCAATGCCTGTCACTGGTTTGCCTCATTACCGGTTCTGTTTTTAGACAATGGAGGCCGCAGTCTTTACGTTCCCCGGTGTGTAAGCATTAACCAGATCTGAATATATTACAAACCTGATTCATAGAAGAACTCACATCTGTCTGTCATCTGTCTGGGATCTGGATCTTTTGATCGTTCATTGTATCACTCTTGCATCACCAAACATCTCTAGTACAGTAAGTCTATTGTTCCACTGTCGCCATCATGTTCGTATTAGACAGATTAAACAGGTGACATGTGGAAGGTCTAGTGTTCCTACAGCACACACCCCCTCTGCTGGGTGGCGTTATACTCTACCTGCTAACTGTAGCATTGAAGCATTAAATGTACACATGCAGTACAACCATTCGGGATGTGTGTAGGTTTATATTCAAGCATGGCTGGTTTAGAATTCAATAAATAATGTGTTTGTAAAGCAGAATTACACATGAAAAAAAGATTATAACTTAGTCTGTGTAGGATATAAGTCATCTTAAGCGTTACTTTACAAAAGAATACTGATGTTGCAGATTTACCTGCATTTTTAAATATGAGTAGATGAATTACAGTCAATTCGGCTTATGAAATTATACCTCTAAATAATCCTCAATCCTTTTTTGTGTCTACAACAACCCAGGTGACAGCCGGAAAAGCTTTCTTTGTGCTGCTTGTTTAAACTCAGAGAAACATTTTCTCCTCTGCCTCTATGTCACCTTTTAAACTTTTTCTCTCTCTCCGACATGACACCGCCGTGCCTCCCACCTGATCCTTTCATCCTCGTCTTTACGTCCTCCACTTGTCTTCCACCCACACCCCTACAGCGTCTATCTTCCTCCACCTCTCCTCGCTCCCCTTTCTCACTTTTAAAGATGACACAAGCCGGCACTCCTGTCCCGCGTTCACGTCTGTCATCTTGTTCAGCTCCCGGGTTTCTCCCCGGAGTCTGATTCCTAGTTTTTATTTAACACTGAGAAACAGTGCTGGAGCAGAGGGAACCACAGTGTGCGTAAACACTCCCTAGTTAGCCTAGGGAACCTTATAGGAGTATTTTTACCTTTCTCTGTTTTTCTTTAAACAAACTTGTGGTTTAGCTGCATACTTGTCAGATTGTGCTGTTTTGAGCACAGAAAACAGAAGTTTTGAATCCTTTCTCTGTCTCTTGTCTTCCTGCAGCCCATCAGCAATGCAGACTTCATTGTTCCAGTGGAGATTGATGGGACTGTTCATCAGGTACTGTTGCACAGATATGGAGGATTTCGAGAAGTGGGCTTGAATAAAATATGAATAATATGTATTAATTTATAAGATCTCCCTCGGAAGCTGTGGCTCCATTTTCCTCCCTTTGGTATTTATTATTCTCTATTATCTCATGGCTACGTCAAAAGTGGGACAGCTTATACACTCCTCCTTGAATTTATTCAGTTTTATTCTCGGTGTCTTTGCTCGCTGTAAAGATGGATGTGCCGTGACGTGACCGTCTCACCTGGTAAACACATGTCACAAAGCATTTTCAAGATATTGTTGAGTTGAGCAGCTGAAGAGATTCTTTAACTGATAATAAATGTCTGTGTTTGAGAGAGAAAGCGCAGCAGAAAGGAAAAAGTGGAGGCGCCGTTTACACTCGCACTGTGACTAGAATTGTTGTGCTTCCGTACAAAGATTTATTTTCTGCGTCCTGTTTGAAGCAGAAGCTGCCAGACTGTAGCTGTGACCTGGTTCAAGTAATCCAGGATAGGCTTTCTGTATCTGTCTCGGCCTATGCTTGATTACTTGCACTTGGGGTCAGCAACTAACCTCTGGAGACCTACTGATGTGGACGACGACGAGCAGAAATGACAAATGTGAACACGAAGTCTGTTGTTGTGAAGGGCTGGGTATTGCTTGGAAATGTCTAATCCTCACAGGCCAGTTCAGACGCTTGCGTGTCTCTTACTTTCTAAGTCTCTAAGAGGCTTCAAATATGGGTGTGTGTATGCACAGAAAAAAAACAGGGCAGTTATAGAATAAGAAATAATTGAATTCATTGCATTCAAGATTTATGATGAATTATTTACTGTATGTGGAATTAAGGTTGAGGTATTTTATGATTTCATTTTTATTTATTTACTGCATTTTATTCTGAAGTTGGCAAATACGAAAGCAAATTACAGAACCGTGATCCAACTTTTTTGATAAAACAGACGGAAGCCTCAACTAATAAAAAACAAAAATGGCAACATCTAGCCCTAACTCTCACTTATTCAAGTCAAACCATGTACTAACCTTTCTGACTTAAGGGTCAAGGGTCAAAGCCTAGAATGTCATTAGTTAAAAAACGTATTACACCAATAAATAACTTACAATAAGCAACTATTCAATGAAGTCTTTACAGCCTCTTCCACCCCATTAAGTAAACTGGGACACAAAAAAACTTCACACCGATCAGTTCATGAGCGGCGTCCCACTGAGAGTAATCTAATCTTACCAGACAGTTAACGGCAGGCCTCGTTACTCGACCGTTGTGTTGATGGCGTGCATGTTTATTTTTGTGCCTTTTTTGTTTTAGGTGTACGTGCTGAAAAGGCCCCACGTGGACGAGTTCCTCCAGAAGATGGGGGAGCTTTTTGAATGCGTCCTCTTCACAGCGAGCTTAGCCAAGGTTTGCTTAAACGTTTTAACGCTTAAGATGCCGGTGATGTGGCTTTAAGACTGTTTTAACCTGACGGTTGTTTTTTTTTGGTCCGTCCAGTACGCTGACCCTGTGGCAGACCTGCTGGACCAGTGGGGGGTGTTTCGCGCCCGGCTCTTCAGGGAATCGTGTGTTTTCTACAGAGGAAACTATGTCAAAGACCTCAGCCGGCTGGGCCGAGAGCTCAGTAAAGTCATCATCATAGACAACTCGCCTGCCTCCTACATCTTCCACCCTGAGAACGCGGTAAGTCAGTCCTCTTGATGTTGAACAGTGAAACCGAAATGTGGTCCCATGGGGGACATTGGAGGTGGAGGGACTTTATTAACGGGTTGGTTATTTACAGACAATGTTGAAAATTAAAATTCTGCCCGATACGGCATCTGATAATCATTTTTTAGAGTGTTTGTCACAGCAATCTTGCTGCTTTTGTTCAACTCCTGTTGTTTACATGACCCCTAAACATGGATGATTTTAGGGAGAATCTACATATATAAATGTGGGCTACAATGACATTTTATGTTTCAAAATCCGTCAGCTTTAATCTGCACTGTTGTTTTGGAAACCGTGTTCTACCAGAGGCAGTGTTCCCAGTTTTATTTCTCTCCTCTGCTGCTGCCACTCTTCCTGTCTTTGATGCATTTCCCCCATTAATTATTTACACAAAACTCGCACCATCTCCTCGCCTATAATGCAGCACTTTGGCATCAACGTTTAGAGTTTCTCCCTTCAAATGAATAAAATCGGTCTCTTCTGTTCTCTCGCTCTCTCTCTCTCCACAGGTCCCAGTGCAGTCCTGGTTCGACGACATGACGGACACGGAGCTGCTAGACCTGATTCCTCTGTTTGAGGGCCTCAGTAAGGAGGACGACGTTTATAGTCTCTTACAGAGCCTGAGGAACAGGTAGCAGACGGCGGCTCCAGTTGGTCCTTCCTGCCTCTTGCACAGAGGCCTCGCCTCGCTGCCACGGCCCCTCAGCCCGGCGCCTGTCCTGCGAGCGGCGCTGGGACTCCCAGCGTGGCTCTAGATCTGAGCACTTCAGGCAATTGTTCTGGTCATAATGAAGTCAAGAGACAACAACTGTAGGGATTTCCACCATCTCTGGATTCTTGGACTCTTTGTACAGGACTCCTACTGACAAAAGATTATATCACTGTATGTACATACTATATGTTTTTAAGCAAGACGTACATAAAGTAATTTTTCTATCAGAGAGTGGAGGTTTTACTATTCTATCAAGTAATATTTTAGTTACCAAAAATAATCCAATAGACAGATTCTTTTTTTTTCGTTGTGTTGAGCTGTGCTATGCAGGCTGTTGTATCTTGTCTGACCTTTCATTCAAACAACTGTGATTTATCTTCTCTTACAGAATGAAGTGCCTTCATTACTGCGCTGATTTTGTTGTGTCAGGTTTTATGGGGTGCACATTTTTATGCTGCATATGAACTCAAATCTCAAAATACGCATTAACTAAATCCTTAAATTGAAGTTGGAATTCAGTCTGAATTGTCTGAGAAATCTGAGAAAACAGAAACGACTTTTTTCTAGAAGTGTATCCAACTAGCCTGTTCGACCAGGATGAGTATTTGCTTTTGAGTTTAGCAACATTGAATTGTTAAATTTACCAAATATTTCTACAATTCAATGTGATGTGTGACTGAATGACGTCATTTGATCCTTGACAGTGACTGTAAATTGATAATCCTTCGAGACGTTGAAACCCCACTTTATTAGTGAAAAAAAGAAACCTTTGTGATGACATCGCCGTCCACCAAAAGATGTTAAACTTTTGAGGAAGATATAATAATTAGCTTAGATAACATGAAATTCTATTTATTGGGGGGAAAAGAGGGTTGGGTGCATTGTAAACACTGCTGTTGAAATCGTACTGTACAACATTATTAAAGTTGCAAGTTTGCACACTGTCAGTTTGTACCAGCGTATAATGACTTTAACCGACCGTAAAGCTGCTATATTTGTTTCTTAGTTAAAACGCCCTCAGTGACATCAGTACGTTACCTGTTCAGCACCAAACAGTAGACAGAAAAAGGTAGCCTCTAGTTGGTAAATGTAATCAAGCATTAAGCAGCTAAAATATTTCCCTCAGGAGTTAGTGGAGGCCAACAAAAGCGCTAAACTATGACTTATTTTTTGTTTTTCCATAGCCAATATCTGTGGAGATTATAGCAAACTGGTACTTTTTTATGCCTCAGCTCCGGCAAACTGCAACGTGACTGCTCGGCAGAGGCAAACAACAACAATGATGTAGTTCTATAGTTTGGTATTACCTCAGTCGAGGTTCTACGTCTATACTAGGAGGAGGAGTTAAAAAATTGCAGACCACTGATGGTTAGAGAGAGCCGTCACTAGCCCAACATTGGGCATCCTGCACAGCCCGCCGTTGACCGCTATTTATTTCTTCAGCCAACCCAGATTTTGAAAAATGGCAGCCGTCAAAACCACGCCAGGGTCAATTGATGAAGTACAGGTGTTGTTCTGTTTGGTTGCCGATGAAAGGAAGACAGATAAGAATCCTGCCTACTTTTAGGGGTTACTATCTGCAGTGGAAAACGAAATCGAGGAAAAGTGCCATGGTACCAAAAGCGAGTCGAGGCGAGCCATACCATACAGTGGAATTTCGGCATAACATTCCTCAGTCAGAAACACGACTCCAAATGAATGGTGCTCCATTTCAGCTGAATGTGTAAATAAGCAACTGTTGGCTAACAATCAATCAATTTAAGAGGAGATGATATGTCAATGTTGTGTTCACAGCTTGTTTCTGCTGGCTAGAAAATCAGATGCATGGCTACTTTTTTTTATATTTTAGGTTGCATTTTACATCCAAACAGGTATTTTATTTTGAATTGTCACAAGCTTGAGGTTCAAAGTTCCTTCTTAACCTTAGAGACAGCAGCAGTTGACAAAACAATTTCACTCATGAGGTTCAATTAGTAGCTGGGCTGGAGCTTTGGATCCTATCACATGATCTTTGTCAGCAGGAGCAGTTCGCTCAGTTGTCATTTAATTTTGTTTGTTTTAAAGCCCCATGGATGAGAAGTCCTTAAAGTGCTTAAAGTTTGATAATGTATTATATATTATAATATTATAGTTTAATGTATGCATTCAGGGCCATTTTATTAAACATTAACTGAGCACAAAAGGACACTGCTGACTTCTCCATTGTCTGATCTGCAGGTGCATTCATAATATGGATAGAAAAACTGGTTAATGTGCAACCAAGAGGAGCTCAGCTTCATGTGATATCTTGATGTGAACTTTTAGCTTCCGCTTACGTAGCAGCCACTTAAACTGCAGCAGTGGATTAGGCATTACAGAGCTCATTGTTCAAGCCTGAAGCCTCAAATATGTGGGGACTGAAGTTCACCAGGTTGTGGAAATGATACATTTTTCATAATGGAGTCCAGGGTTGAAGCTAAAAATGGAAAGCCGTGGTCGAAGGTAAGAAAAACTTTCAGCCTGCATGTTGACTTGAAGCTATTGGTTAACAAGAAAACCAGGGTAGTTGCGTAACAGATCTGTTTTCAGATTCCCTGGCAGGGGTTGTGTGAACTAAATAAGACAAAGACGAGTGTAATAGATGTATCCCTGAACAGAAAACATCAGCAGGGAGCCCCATCCATGATTCATGCACTCACTGCAACATGCAACAGCAGAAGTTTACAGATTGTTCACACAGTTTGAAAATGTTTGTGGGGGGGGGGGGGGGGAAGCAGAAGCAGGATTTGATGCTTTATGTAGTGTTCCAAGGGTATCCTTAGCTGTAAAAGCAACTCGCCCACAATGTATTTACACCGTTTCTTTACACACAATGCAGTGTTTTACTATGGATTAACATGCACACACACTGCAAAGACTCTTCTTGTCTAATACTTCCAAAAAAAGTGTGAAAATCACTTTGGATGCAGCATGTTAATACCTCTCCACATTTAGCAAACACATTTTAGCACACGCTGCCAATGTCTGCTCTGCTGGGGGATCAAAGCCCAGCGCTGCAAACCTTCAATAATGTCAAGCGTTCCTCCTCGAGTGTCTGTGTGAGTGGGCACAGAACGAGAGACTTAGCCACAGAAAGCCTCTGATTCCTGTCCAATACCCCTCGGAGCTCCTTGAGTCCAATTCCCCCATCTGCTAGTTGTAACAGTTGTTGAATGAATAATTGGTGTCAAGTGGCCCCTGTAATGCCCACTGCGCTGCTGAGGGCTCGGCCGAACATAAACACGACTCTTGCTGGAAGCATAATCAGGACCTCGAGTGAGGCTTGAGTCCAATCTCAATTCAGGTATTGTAGATGAAGTGTCTTGACTTTGTGATGCATTCTGCAAGTCTGGCTCTCCTCATGAATCCTTACAACAAGCCAGAGCCTCCTTTTTAAAACACCTTTATTTCAGAAAGGGCTGGGAAACAATGTAAGGAGGGGTGTATCAAGGTGGCTGTATAGTGTAAATATTGAGGCAGGAAATTGCAGGTGTGTTCAGACCTGGGTGTGGAGACAAATAAACCAAGCCCTCTCTACCACACACTCCAGCTTGTACATAGGAGGGAAATCCAGCAGTACTTATATTGCATAAAGACCTAATTTCACTGATCTAACTCCACAACTTGTAGGAGACAGCGAGGCCTTCACTTCGCCAGACACAACACAAGGTAAGTTCCATTCTTTTGTTTTGGTGAGAGCTTTCTCTCGACTGTTTTTAGTTGTTTTTAATGTCTATCCTCCATCCTATCTATTTCCTTTATCTGAATCACTGCAGTTTGGGGACGGTGACATCTTCATTACCATATTTGTTGAAACAATATCTTTAAAACAGACCCAATGCTGCGTTTTGAAACCTACATCATGTTATATAAATTGGAGGTGAACAAATGTGCATGTATTTAGAGCACTGACAAAGCTCATTGTGAAGCTGAGTCAATAGACACTGCACATTGATTGGGGTGGAACCAGTCTTTCCTGTCACAGTAATTAATGGAAGCAACGCTGGGGTTCAATTGATCTTTTCAGAAATTATTTGTTTTTCATATATTTTTAGGCAGATCAGATTGCAGAGCACAATGGTTGTCTTTCATTAACAACAGGGAGTTGCCACTACGGCTAAAATGTTGAACAACCAACAACGCCATTTAGTTACGTCATTTAGTCAACCAACTAAAAATCAATTAAGATTTAGTGTTCGTTTATGTAGTGATTTTTTTATCGTGAAAGTGAGATAATAAACTAAATAATAAAAGGGTTATTTCATCAAAACGTAATCATCGATATTACATGCACACTGAGGGAAACTGTTATTTTAGTAAGAGTTTGTAATGTGGACTAGGCATGGGTGTGGCCACTCCTTTAGCCCCGATAAAAAAAGGAAATGGTCAATAGATGTTTGGATCGGGAACATGATGATGAATGTTTTTTAGCACCAGAAAAAATCCTCTCTGGTCTTTTGGCATAATTTTAAGCATAACATTTTACAATCGTTTGCAAGGTAATTGTTTTTATCCTTTGAATATTTACCAACCGCAACAGCGAGTGGCTATTTTTGTTTTCATATTGTGAGTCTGTATGTGTGTCATCATGGCACAATGTGGTCCTGGGGACACCTGCTGTAGTGGAAAGTGCCGCAGAGGCGGTTTTGAGTACTTTGTCAGGTGTTTATTTCTGTTTGTGGGCATATTCTGTCAGCGCGATATCGTCCCAAATGTGCAAGATGCAGTCAAGTTGTGATCAAAATGAAGGCAAAGATTGACAATAGGTGTGGTCTGAAAAAATGGTGCCAGACGTAGAGGGTAGGAAGTGTGGACGGGGCCATTGACGTCACACTAGATCTTTCACCAGGAGGACTCCCCCACGAGGTGTCCAAACTACGTTACCTTACCGTCGTGAAGCAGTCATGCTTGTTGATGTTGTCGTCGGCACACATGTTCACATATTAGCCTGTTTCCACAAGTCTTTTCTGTTTCCCCTAGATCAGTCACTGAGTTATATGTTATGTTTAGTCATGCAAACATCCAACACCCTATGGTGCAACAACAACAACTGCATATGCAACACATAGCTCACACAGGTAGGCTATAGGTGTGGCGACCCCTCCCTGGGTTTTCCCTCATCCCGGGTCTTGCATGAAAGTTCACACCTATAGCGCTCGAGCGCTTAAGTCGTGTAGTGTGACCTAGGCATTAGAGTAATTAAAAGTATGTACTCAAAGCAAAGAGTTCGGTAGCAGACTTTAGAATTTGGCTTTAAAGTGAGGTTATTTAACTTTTGAATGAAGAAATAACACAAAAAAAGCAATAGAAAAGCACCCTTTGCTAAATTTAGTTCACTCTGCAGTTAATCTGCTACAGCCTCACTTGGTCTGGTATGACCAGTATTATATGGAAGCTAATGGTAGCTAATGTTAGCAAACGTGGCCACGGTTACACGATGATTAAGCATCGACTATTAGTTATCACCTAATTGTTACTTTTGGCACCTGTGGATACGTAATCTTGCTGTAAAGCTGCTTATAGAGCCGCAACTCTTTATGTATCATATTGTATATTGTGAGATATTGCAAAATTATTTTGACTTAGTCTTACACACTCTGTCCTCCTCAGACTCACACACCAAATGAAGTAGGATTTTGCAACTTTAGCCCAAGCCCTATTATGTTATTAAAATCTCAACCCTTTTTCTGTTTGCTCTGTGTGTCACCTCTTTTTATCTGATTATTTGAAAACCTGAGCCTTGATAGTATTAATAAAGGGTGTGGTTAACATCCTGGTATTGTACAGCTGACCTGATCTGCCTGACCTTCCACCACCCACTCCATCAATCACTGCCCAGCCAGGCATTTCATTTCTCCACCTGGAGCAAAGATTAATGTTTGTGTGAGCCAATAAATTATAGCTGATATATTTCCCTGGAGAATAACTGCAACCACAGCTCCCTCGGCTATTTCCCAATCACATCATACATTCACGGATCCTGTATTTGCATTCATGATATGTTGCCGGCAGCGTAGCATCCCCACCGAGCCTGTTTCCACGTGTCACCACTAAGCCTGTATATTTTCTCGGCTCAGCTGGTGTGTTTGCTTATCAGTGCTGTTGTTTCTGATATCTGAGTCAAGAGGCGTTTAAGCACCGCTGATTGCAGAACGTGTACGTTGCTGCGGTGCCAAGCTGACACTCATTAAAGAGGTGTTTCGCTGTCACAGATCCAATCTTTTGAAATGGTTCACTTGTCACTTTAGAAACATCTGTTTCCAGTGAAAAGAACTGAGCAATGAGGGGTAGGAGGCTTCAAAAATGCTGTTGGAGGAGTTGCAATTAAATATGTGTTTCATAATATTCTGTTAAAGGTTCTAACACACACTTAATACAGTTAGACTACAAGCAGTGGTGGTGCAGAAGCGTTGACATGCTCTCAAAGTAGTTTCCCCTAAGCTGAGCCTTTCACATGTCTTTGTTTTGATTCACCCTTATGTAAGGACACATTTTTCTGTCGCACAAATGCTAAAAACCAACTGTTCGCTACGTGCTGAGAACTAAATGGCAGACGAAGTTATATGAATGAACATAGCGGAGCATTTAGTAGCTAATTACCCAAATATTTCCAGCAGGAGTTGGTGGAGAACAAAACCAGAGCTAAAGAGAGAGAATGTATTGGACTTACATTAGAAGCACAACTCCTAATGAATGAAACTGGTGCTCCGTATCTGCTGGATGTGGAAACGCCCGATCAACTTAAAAAGTTATACTATGCGATTGTTGTTTAAAAGTAAAAGTCCTGCATTCAAACTATTACTGAAGTAAAAATCTAGAAATATTAGTAGAACGATCTACTTAAAAAGTAGGCTACTTGCTGATGCAGTATTGGGCCCTTGTGGACGTTCTTATTATGTATTACATCATTGAATGTTATAGTTGGTTGAGGAGGAACTAATTGTAACTGTGTGGTGTTTCATGGTTTCATTATATAAGATCATCAATATTTGTGGTGCAGTAAAAGTTAAATATTGACATGGAAAGTCGTGAAGTAGAATTTTAATGTAGCTCAAAATGGATACCCAAGTAAAATACAAAGTACCTTAAAACTGCTCTTGAGTACAGTAGAGTTACATTCCACCATTGACCATAAATCTGAATATATTATGCTTCAGCATACGATGTCTAAAGTTTCTGTGTAATGTTTGCTTACATCTCACCTACATTAAATGTGTCTTAAATCATTATATTTCTTTACACAGCATAGGATGAACCTGACATGTGTCTTTGTTTCAGTTTAACAGAATGATGAGTGATGACAATCAAGACACATTTAGAAATGTCAGGCAAAAGCCAGGCCTGCAGATATGGACTATCAATGTAAGTCAGCCCTTTGAACAAATATCATATTACTGTGTGTGTGTGTGTGTGTGTGTGTGTGTGTGTGTGTGTGTTACTGGTCAAACTGGTCTTATTTTTCATAATATCCAACATGTTTGTTGTTTTCTCATTCAGAACATGCAGATGGCCCCTGTTTCAGCTCAAGGCTTTGGTAACTTCTTTGAGGGAGACTGTTACATTGTTCTTTATGTAAGTACAAAACTGGTTGATTTCTCAAGAGGCTCAACACTAATGAAGGCATGTGACCTAAACATGCTTTGATAGTATGTGTACAAGTGTTGGTCTTCTATCATCTGTATCTTTCACCAGATAAGTCAGAACAAGGGCTCAGGCCAGTCGGCTGACATCCACTACTGGATAGGAAACTCCTCTTCTCAGGATGAGCAAGGTGCAGCAGCCATCTACGTCACCCAGCTGGACGAGCACCTGGGTGGGAGTCCGGTCCAGCACAGGGAGGTGCAGGGTAATGAGTCTCCACGGTTCAGGAGCTACTTCAAAAATGGCCTCATGTGAGTCATAGGAAATAAATCTGGTGTGTGTGTGTGAACAGGGTGGTGACCAAATAGTCACACACACTTATGCTGTAATCTTCCTGAGACATGAACAGTAATCCCTCTGCATGAAATCATTATGACACAATTTGCAGTTGTTTTGTTGAGGCAGCTTAACAAATAAAACATTCATTAACCGCTGACTTTTCGTCGTGTTTTTGCTTCACACTGAGGTTAAATTGCAAAATTACCAAAATAACAAATTCAGCCAAGTGCTTTTGCAATCATCCTGCTTCATGTGTGTTCTTCATAGTTGTTTTATTACACCTGAACTTTGGTAACGTGCGCTGATCTCTCCACAGCTACAAGAAGGGTGGAGTGGCCTCCGGTTTTCACCATGTTGACACAAACGTCTACAACATCCTGCGACTGCTGCACGTCAAAGGGAGGAAGCATATCACAGCGACAGAGGTATGCCGAGTAGAATATAAAGGTCTTAATGCTGCCTGCCCTGTACCTCCCACTGGACCTTTCACAGGTCTCACACAGCCTAAAGGGGTGTCGGCACGCCCTCTTGAACAAATTATGGCGTGCTTGTTGCCATAGCTGTCAAAGTAGGTGTTAATTGGCTGTCGAGTGCTATGACTGTGTGGTATTTAATTAATATTTGACTGACATTTGTTTTCTTTTTATTGGTTTTATGACACCATGTCCTTTTAATTTAAATAAAGGTTAATAACTCTCCATCATGATAAAGTTGGTGTGTGTGTGTGTGTGTGTGTGTGTGTGTGTGTGTGCAGGTGGAGGTGTCATGGAACAGCATTAACAATGGAGATATATTCCTGCTGGACATGGGGAAAGCCATTGTGCAGTGGAACGGCCCCCAGAGCAACAGGAGAGAGAAGCTCAAGGTAATCCTGCACTCTGATTGGTTACAAAAGAGCAGTGATGCACTAATGTTGTTGCTACACAACTACAAAAGAGCTACATGAGGAAATACAAAAAACTTTTAAAAATGACTTTTCCACATGAGACTTTGCATTAATATAAAAAAGACAATATTCTAATATAGTTTAATTAGATTAGATTTTTCCTTTTTTTTGTAAATGTTGGTTCTAACCAAATTACTTCCAAATAATATCTGGGAAAATAAAAATAAAATAAATTGTCCACATTACAGGCATTGAAAAGTAGGGACAGCAAATACAAATGAATTGCTCTTGCAGGTATAGATACAGTTTATATGAATCTTTATGTATTAAGTCAATAATTGTCAATTAGTGGCGAAGCATAACAGCAAAGGGGAAAGAAGTTAGACAAAAAGGGTTATGACAAAGACATAATCTGATATACATTTAGCCTGACATCTTAATTTTAGATTTATTTCTCAGTCATAGCAATAAATCTGCTATTTTTATCTTTTTGATGTCCTAACGACATAAACCAATTGTTCTGTGGAAGTTGAACCAGTCTGTAACTATTAATTATTTTTGTTGTATGCAAAAAAAGAGCTATAATCTGTCTTTGTTTGCAGGCAGTCTTGTTGGCTCAGGACATCCGGGACAGGGAGCGAGGAGGTCGAGCTCAGATTGGTCTGGTGGAGGGAGGAGATGAGAAGGACTCCCCAGAGCTCATGAAAGTCATGATGGCGGTGCTCGGCCAAAGAACTGGACAGCTGAAGGAGGCCATTCCTGATGACAAACCCGACCAGGTGCAGAACACCAGCGTCAGACTCTACCAGTAAGGACCTCTTGATCTGTTGGATCATTGCTGCAACGTGTTGGGAATGTTGAATACAATCATACGCTGTTCTTCCTCTCTCCTCAGCGTTTTTGAAAATAACGGGAATCTCGTGGTTCAAGAAGTGGCCACACAGCCCCTAACCCAAGATCTGCTGCACTCCTCTGTAATTCTCTTTCATCCTTTGAACATGTTCCTCAGAGACTGTTATATAGAGCATGCTCATTGTCTCTTTTTCTCTCACTGTCAGGACTGTTACATCGTGGACCAGAGAGGCTCGAGTGTGATGGTGTGGAAAGGCAAACAGGCCTCCAAGCAGGAGCGGCAAGAAGCTCTCAACAGGGCAGTGGTGAGTTTACTTCAAAGATTTCTACATATCAAACTACATCATTATTTAATACGGTGGTTCTTTTTTCGCCAGGATCACCAAGTTAAACAGTAATAATTGATCAACTTTTCTACCAGGGCTACATCAAAGCCAAGAACTACCCATCCAGCACCAGTGTGAAGGTGATGTCTGAGGGAGGAGAGTCAGCAATGTTCAAGCACTTGTTCAAATCCTGGACAGATAAAGGGCAAACTCAGGGTCTTGGTACCACCTACAGCATGGGAAAGATAGGTAACATAATACATGACCTGCTTCTTTTCACAATTTCACACAGTTTTTATTTCAATAGTTATTTATTTACAATTTCATTATAAAACAATATATTTTGTTTGTATATAATTCATATGATTATTTATTTTCTTAATTTCTTATTAGCTTGCGTGACACTGAATACTTTGGGTCCATACAGCAAAGGTCGACCAAGTGAAGTTTGATGTGATGGAGCTCCACGCACGTCCTGAACTGGCAGCGCAGCAGCGAATGGTGGACAACGCCTCTGGAGATGTTAAGGTGAGGAAACATAATGCCAAAATTCAAAAAAAAAGACAAAATGGCAGATGGATTTAATATCTGTTTCAAAATTATTCTATTTATTCATATATTGATATTATTTTATTTCTTTACATTTTTGATAATGTTCACGTACGGGTCAGGTGTGGCGCATCGAGAACTTGGAGGTGGCCGAAGTAAAGCCAAATACTTATGGACAGTTTTATGGAGGAGACTGCTACTTGGTGCTGTACACGTATCAAATATCAAACCAGAGGCAGTACATACTCTACATGTGGCAGGTCAGTAGCATCACAGTAGGAATATTGTCCTTGTTTTTATGTCGCTCTTTCTGGCACTGATAAATAAATAAAAAAGAACAGCTACTCTTTATTAACTTGAGTTTCTTTCACCAGGGCCGTCATGCCACCAAAGATGAGATCACAGCTTGCGCCTACCAGGCTGTCAATATTGATAACAAGTACAATGGAGCCCCGGTCCAGGTCAGGGTGGTCATGGGAAAGGAGCCTCGCCATTTCCTTGCTATTTTCAAAGGCAAACTCGTCATTTTTGAGGTGCATTTTCTCTCACTGAAGATTGTCTCCTTTTGTTTGCAGGTTGTAACGCCCAAATACAAAAAAGGCCTTCATCCTGTTTTTGTAGTCGAAGGCTTGAGGAATTATTACTGCAATACAATATGAAATGTTTTACCTCTCAAAGTGTTAAAAATATCACAAAGACATGAATCCTACATTGTCCACTCTACATCCCAGCATGCATAATATATATGTGTGTGTGTGTGTGTGTGTGTGTGTGTGTGTCTTTAGGGAGGTACGGGCCGACCCGGTGTGGTCAACCCTGACGGAGGTGCCAGGCTCTTCCAGGTCAGAGGGACTAACGAGCTGAACACCAAGGCCACTGAAGTGCTGGCGAGGGCCTCGTTTCTCAACACCAATGATGTCTTCCTGCTCAAGACCGACCACATATGCTACCTGTGGTATGGAAAGGTACGTGCTTCGTTCTGGAGCGCTGTAACAAGCTGGCAAAGCCTCAAATATAAATGTGAATTTGTGTCTGCGTGTTTGCATTTTCACACAAATCCCTGTTTGTTTGATGTCTGCTTCTGTGCGTCTCCAGGGCTGCAGCGGGGATGAGAGGGTGATGGGGAGAGCGATGTCTGATGTGCTGTCCAAGCAGGACAAGCAGGTGGTGATGGAGGGCCAGGAGCCAGCTGAATTCTGGGTAGCTCTGGGAGGAAAGGCTCCCTATGCTTGTGACAAGAGGTAAGCACAGACAACAACATCACACCTTTGAATCCGGCTCTTTCTTTTGGTGATATTATTGCAATCTCCAGAGAAATGAGTTTGTTTTCTTGTTTAACGACAGTTCAGCACCAACACATATTAACGGCTATCAGCATTCAACCAGGCCTTGTTCTCTATATATTTTCTTTTTACGCTATACTATAAAAGCAAAAATAACAATTACAACAGCATATAAACAAGGACCCCAAAACTCGTCCAAAAGGCTCTATAATCATATTTGGAAACATTAATAAGCTTACACTCAAATCTCCATGGATTATTTTTATATCAAGGTCAGTGGGATATGCCCAATGTCATCTAAAATATAGTCTGCGCACACACACACACACACACACACACACACACACACACACACACACACACAGATTACACAGTTGTAATGACGGTCGGAGCTCTGTGTTGTTTCAGACTGCAGAGGGAGGAGCCTCCTCACAGTCCCCGGCTGTTTGAATGCTCCAATCAGATAGGTAATTTCAGGATGACCGAGGTGGATGACTACGCTCAGAGTGACCTGGACGAAGAAGATGTCATGCTGCTGGACACCTGGGAGGAGGTGAGAGGCAAAGACAAAACAAACAAATCAAACCACAACACGACATCTGAACGTTGCCTGTGCACAGACTGATGCTATTAAAGTGAAGCGGAGCAAAGTTGGAGGGGTTTTGGAGGGGGCATGTTGAGGCATAATTTCCAAATTGGCCATTTGGGTACATTTAGGTACCATCTGTACCATTTGAAGTGTTCCAGGTAACTGTAAAATGCATTTGATTTAATTTACATATCACTGTAGGTGTTGATTCAATCTAAATACAGCTGTTCTTGGCTTAGTTTTAAAAAGTAAATCAATGATATATGATTATATATGTTCCCATTTAAAGAAACCCATAATCCATCGGTCCATTGGACCGGCTCATTCCTTTATCATGGGTGCAGCATCAATATTCCTCCACTAGACGGAGACAGAGAACGTGTTGTAAACGCTCATCCATGCCACGTAAATGAAGACAGACAGCTGAAAAACGACCCTGAGACTGCTTTGCCCCCGGCACAGGGGCGCTCGATCAGCTGAGATATAAACATACTTCTTTAAAAATGTCTAGAAAAAATAATAAAGCCAGTTGTAGAGTGGCTTGGTAGCTGTTCCAGTCGGAGCCCTGTAATTGCAGTGTCGCTGGCTTCGATCCAGCTGCAGGACTTTTGGTTCATCTCAAAGGTCCCCCC